CCCTAGCCCTCCTCACCGTGCCCGCGCCCTAGCCCTCCTCACCGTGCCCGCGCCCTAGCCCTCCTCACCGTGCCCGCGCCCTAGCCCTCCTCACCATGGGGCTCCCTAGCCCTCCTCCTGGATGCCTTGCTCCTCCTCACTCCCTTCTCCTCCTCCTGTCACATTGTGTCACCAGGAAGGTGTGTCAGGTGACCTCACTAACCCTGTCCCGGCCACATGGTTTATGCCCTGTGCTGTAGACCCGTCCTCACGGCTCCTTTTTGCCCCCCAGCTCCACCACCCACCCTTCTCCACTCCGCCCCAGGCGGACAACTGGCCCAGACAGCGCCTGGCAGCCCCGCAGCTCCTGGTGGGCTTCTGCCAGTGGGGGCCCCCTGCTGGAGATCGCAGTGGAGAGAGCAGGGCAGGACGTAGGCCCCCAGGCCCGACGTGGGCCCCCAGGCCCGCCCTGGGAAGGTGCCTGGGTTGGCCAAGCCCCTCCCCCTAAAGCTTTGCCTCCCTGAGGCTGTGGCCCAAGGGCCTCTCCCGCTTGAATTCCGTACCCACCCTCCCCAGTCCCTGGCCTGGTGCTGCGACAGCCCAGCTATCTCAGCACCGCCCACTTTGTTAATAAACCCACCTCAAACCGCCCCACCTGAGTGCCGTCTGTTTCTCTCTGGGCCCTGACTGCTGGGCAGGGACAAGACCACCAGTCGGAGCTGCGTTAGCAGCGGTGGCCTGGCCGTCCTGACAGCCAGACAGTGTGTAGATTTCCTTTTCCCGCAGACACAGTGCAGGATCCGGACCTTAGGACCAGTCAGGGCAAGTTCACGTCCTGTCCTGGGCCTTCACCCTCACGGCTGGGGCAAGTGAGGCTCACCGCCATATCAGGCTCACTGGGATGTCGGGGAGGGGGGTGGTGGAACGGCCACCCTGGGCACTGGCCACAGATGGCAGGGCAGACACCCAGACCTGACCCCCAGGCCCCTGCTGGGCCACCCTTGGCGAGGACACACGGGACCTGGGGGGCCCCACCCCAAAGAGCCCTTGGACAAAGTGCCTGTCAGCCGGTGTGGGGCAGGCAGACCTCAGTCACTGTGAGATGAGCATGTGGGGGTGACCCCGACCCTGAGTGCGCTTAGCCCCCTGCCATCACGCCCTCCCCATCCCTGGAGTCAGGGCCGCCCCCCTCCGTCTGTCTCCTCATGCGCCCTTCCCTGGGGTGCTGGCGGCCGCACCGCTGTCCTCGGCTCCTGTCTGACCTCATCCCGCGGTCCCCTGGGTACCCGCTGCCACGTCCTGTAATGCCCCGGGCCATCATGTGCCCAGGAGTTGGGAAGTGCTGCCGGGCCAACGTAGACACGCCCAGATGCCATACACCTTGTGGAAAGAAGGTTTTGCGATGCAAGAACACTTCTGCCTTGAGCCCTAAGACTGTTGGGTGGCCTCTGTGGGTGACCCCTCCTGCCACTTGGCCTCTTACCCACACAGGACTCTTGGGAACCTCTCCCCTTCCCTTACTAAGGAAGGGGTCCCTCCAGCTGCAATTCTCCAAGCAGGTAGCCCACAGCAGAGATGGCTAAGACGCAGCCCAGGCGCCAGCAAGGGGCTGGGTAGATGAGGACAGTCACAGCGAGGCGTGGAGGGGCTGCAGGGCTGCAGGGCAGGGGAGGCCCCGCTCAGCTTGAGGCTGGGAGCTCAGGCAGCCTCCGAGTGACTCAGTGACATTGTGCCGAGTCATGAAGGGGTGTCCACCCGTCTAAGCAGGTGTGGGGGAAGAGCTTGAGGGAGGAGGGCTCGGCCAGCGTGCCCTCTAGGGGCCGCCCGAATTGCCACCTCCAAGCCAGGCCTCGGTCTGACCTTGCTGGTAACGCGAGCCTCACCCCGCAGCTCGGGCAGTGGCGAGCGGAGGCTTGGCCAGGGTGCAGCCAGGGTGTGGCTGCTGCGGGCAGGGGGCCACCTGGTATGGCAGCCGTCGGGTGTGGGGATGGCGGCAGAGCACGGGAGGGCTGGCACCCACCGTACAGATGGAGAGCTGACGGTGCAGACTGCCAGGGAGGGCAGAAGAGTCGGGGTGCTGCCCACGCCTCTGGGTGGGTAGACAGCGAGAGACAAGAGGGCCAGATGGGGGTTGGGGCAACTCTGTGAGGATCCTGGAATTGGTGGATGATCGGCTGGGGAGGTTCCTTCGAGCTCGAGTACGGGGCGGGTGGGACCCCCAACGACAGAACGAGGGGTTGCTTTATACCGTCTGCTTAGAGACTCCACGAGCATTAAGGGCCCACAGCTGGTCTGGTCTCTTTGGGCACCGTGAGTGAGGCTGTTACATACAGGTGACCTTGTCCCTGTGATAAGTGCGGTAACAGGTCTGCATGAAGCACAGCCGTAACACAGGTGAGGGGACTGGGGACTGAGTATCCGATGGAAGCTGACTTGTCTTCATTCTCCCAAATCTCCTGTGTAGACAAATGCCCCAAGGCCTTTGAGGCCAGCGCTGTGTAGCCATGGCCTCAGACTTGCTCTTCCCTGGAGGGGTTCCCTGGCCCGGAGGAGGCACTGGGCCTGCACTTCCTAGCTCTGCGCCAAGGCTGGAGGAGAGAAGCTACTGAGTTCAGGACCCCCTCCCCCCTGCCCTGTGTGATCTCTCCAGCCCGCCTCTCCAGGGATGCTGCCTCGGGGGCCAGGGCAGAGGGCTGCTACCTGAAGCCTTAATAATGGCAACGCTGACTCTACCGGGACTGTGCTTGAAGCCGCTTTTAACTTACATCATTAACATTCCAACATATTTCCTGCAGAGATAAACAGATACTGCAGGAGTGGAGGGAGCAGGCCTGGAAGATGAAGAAGAAAAAGGAAGAACTCAGTAGACTCCAGCCTCCGAGGAGGAATCTGGTAGGATGGGGGCGGGGGCAAGGGGGACTGTGGGTCCCGCCCCGCTCGTTACCATGGTGATGACAGTGGCACACCCATTCACACGCTGTAACCGTGAAGGAGGCACCCGCTGACCGCGCCCTCCTGTGAACCGCGCTGTGAGACGCACACGGCCACCGTGCAGGTGGTTTGTTTTTAAAGAAAAATACGTCTTCGAGAAACTCGGCTCTGTTACGAGATAAGCAATGCAGCCAGTACTCACTGCAGACGGACAGACTCCTCCCCGAGGGGGTCGCGCACTGGTGGGGGTCGGCAAGAGGCGGATTAGGGGCGTGTGGGAAGGTGAAGAGGGGCTTTGTGAAGCGTGAGCATCAGACTCTTAGCTCCTCTCGCTCCCTCAGGTCTGCCCTCCTACGTGGGGTGGTGGGGGCCCCCAGCCTGCCCTGCACCCAGACCTCATCGACAACTGTGACGCCTCTCAGCTTTCAAGCCGCGCTCCTGCCTGTGACCACAACCTCCTATTTTTCTGACTTCCCTTCATTCTCTTTTATTCCAACTAGCGATGTTTTGAAGCCTTAGTAAGACCCCTTCTCTGCTGCAGCATGCACTCTCTTCTCCCCCGGGGGATTGGGGGGAAGCCACCCCTGCTCCCAGTCCCTCAAGAGAACCATGTGGTCTGTGCTTGATGCTCTGTCCAGGGACTCCGCTGACCACCTCGGTCCCCCGAGAAGCTGTCAGCACCGTGCTGGTCAGTCCTGCTGTGTGTCCAAGTGCCCCTTCGCCCTGTGCCTGCCTGGGGGTATCCCGAGCCGCCTGCGAGATCAGCAAGCCCAGCACAAGGACACACAGGGCTGTGGCCCCCGCGGGGCTGTGGCTCCTGCGAGGCTGGCATTAACTTTTCCTCATGACTGTTTGCCATCATTATAATTGTGGTGGTTACACAATTAAGTTGAATTCTTTCACTCCCCGTGGTTAGAAACACGATTTCTGTGGTAAATTCTATAAGAACGTTCATCCCGTTCTGTCTAATGCATACATTATGTGTGAATATTGTAGGCATCACCCAGGAAAGGAGACAGCCTGGAATTCTGAGGGTTTTCATATAACCTGGAGTAGCACAAACCTTCCGAAATTAAATAAGAAATCCAGAAGCTCTGAAACTAAAAATAGAAAAAATTTTACTTCATGAAACTGAAAAATATTTTGTGTGGCCAAAAAACACTATAAATAAAGTCAAAACGTCAGGAAAAATGTGACAGAAAGTTGTTACCTAGTATATAACGAATTGATTTTAAAGTGTGTACACATTGATTTTAAAAAGTCAATGAATCAGTAGGAAAATGGGCAAAAGGTATGCGAGATTCACGACAAGGAAGCGCGGGTGGCCCTAGATAAATGGAGAGACCCTCACCTCCTGTCGGGGGCGGCGGTTACCAGGTTACCAGCCGCTTACCAGTGAGGCTGGCCAGGCAGGTCGCTGTCAGCTTTGTGGAAAATATCTATTTAAATAAAAAATATGTATTTCTTCAAACATTTTGGGGAGTTTGTCTTATAGAAATAAAAGAAATCCCAATCATCAGCATATATATGTACAAAGTTGTGCTCAGTGTTGTCTGTAGAGGCAGAAGTAACTGAACACCAGAAAGCATTTGAATGTCCGTAATAGAAACCCCACCCAAACCCATCGCTGCCCAGTCGATTCCGACTCATAGCCACCCTACAGGACAGAGCAGAACTACGCCGTAGGATTTCCAAAGTAATCTTTGCGGAAGCAGACCGCCACATCTTTCTCCCATGGAGCAGCTGCTGGGTTCGAACCACCCACCTTTCAGTTAGCAGCCAAGCACTTAACTACCGTGCCACCAGGGGAAAGGGGACACAGATTGTAGTCTGTCCTCGAGGTGGGAGCAAACCCAGGACTGACAGAGACGGTCCTGCAGTTGGGCAGGAAGACACAAGAGGGCGCCATGGCTCCACAGATGCACCAGCAAGGGGGGGCGGGGGCTCCCAGAGACCCTGGGCGTGCCCCCTAGGGGTGCATGTTCCTCCAGGCAGGGCTGGGGGGGGGCTGTGGCCTCATGGCTTCTGCACATGCCCAGCTTTTCCGTGGTGCACGGGCGGTGGGACCCGGAGCCCTGGCCGGAGATGACAGAAGTGACCCCAGGAGCAGGCAGAGGCCCCACGCTGACCCCGAGCACGGAAATACAGGGGTCTACCGGGTCTGGACACGGAGGACGAGCCTTTCGGTCATCACCAGCTTTTTAAAAGGCCTCGAATGTTTGTTTCATGATGCTCTGATAACAGCAGCTCTGCAGTGGATGTGGACTTCCTCATCGGAAGACCATCACCTGCGTGTATGACGCCTCACACACAAGCCTGGTGGGAGAACACCACCCGCATGTGCGATGCCTAGCACAGAAGCCTGGCAGGAGAACACCACCCGCGTGTGTGATGCCTAGCACAGAAGCCTGGCAGGAGAACACCACCTGCGCCATGACACCTCGCAGAGAACTTGGCTGGAGCTGCTGTGTCTCGTTGCATCTCTGCGCTAACCTTTGGCCTTCTCCCCAGGGAATTGGGTGTTTGGATAAGTTTACCTTCTGGGGAGCCAGCTTTCCAGATAACATACCTGTAAGAAGAGTCCCTGAGTAGCACAACTGGTTAAGCGCTCGACTACTAGCTGAAAGGTTGGTGGTTCCAAACCACGCAGAGGTGCCTCGGAAGACAGGCCTGGCGATCTCCTTCTGAATGGTCACAGCCTTGAAAACCCCATGGAGCAGTTCTACTCTGCACACATGGGGTCACCATGAGTTGTAATCCACTCCATGGCAACTAACAAGGACAATAATGTATTTTTTTAAATAAAGTTAAAACTCTAGCTTTAAATGGAAACCTAAAAACCCCACCTGCTGGATCTAGGTTCGTCCTTTCCTTTCCATCGGAACAATCTTCAGAAACCGTGATTAACTGAAAGTGCCAGCTACAGGGCAGTTGGCAGCGTTTAGTTCTGCTGTGTCCTCAGCCCTAGGCAGGCCCCTGGGGTTATAGGAGAGGTAAGTTCCTGGTTCCTGCTCCCTTTCTCCGCCCTCTTTCCCTACCCCTTCCATTAAGCACCTTCTAAGTATCAGGTTGCCAAGAAATTTGGAAGACAGCTACCTGGCCAACTGACTGGAAGAGATTCATATTTATGCCCATTCCCAAGAAAGGTGATCCAACCAAATGTGGAAATTATCGAACAATATCATTAATGTCACACCCCAGCAAAATTTTGCTGAAGATCATTCAAAAGCAGCTGCAGCAGTATGTCGACAGGGAACTGCCAGAAATTCAGGCCAGA